AGAGCCCCCGGCGCGCCGCCGGCGCCTCCCGCAGCGAAGGCCCCCGCAGGCCCACCGCCAGCCGGAGCGCCTTTCACGGCTGCGATGGCACGCCCTGCCGTGTTCAGCGCGATCGGCGGCCCAGCGCCCAGCCCAAGAGTGCCCCGCACTGAGGCGGCACCCGCTGCGACTTCTCCGGGAAGAGGGAAACCACGGAATCGGTAGACCTGATCCCCAGCTGTGGCGGCAGCCACGGCGCCGACTGCGGCGCCGGCGGGAATGGCGTGCTCCCTGATGTCGGCCCCGTTCTGCATGATGGCCTCCACGTAGGCGTGTCCATCAGGAGTCAACACCCCTGTCCCGAAGGGCGGCACCGTCTGGAACGCCAGGATCAGACGCTCGTGCCAGATCCGGCCACCTCCCACACGATGCAGCACCAGGATGAAATCGCCCTCGTCGAGTCCGTCCAGAGCCAAAGGGTGTCCACTGGCCGCCGCGGCGGCTGCAGAGCTGGCCATCACGATGCACAGGCCCGCGCTCTGACTGCAGTCGCCTGCGCTCTAGCCGCCTCCTCCAAAGAGGGCTGAGGCGGGAGGCGAGTGATCGGCTGCCAGGGGCTCAGCCACCGCGCGGCCAGGAGCCCTCCTGCGAAGCCAGTCGCGCCCGCGAGGGCCACCGCTGACAGCGCCCACCCTGGCGACCCGCCTGGGCAGTCCACGCGCGTCACCTCCTGGCCGGGGGCGCAGGTGAGGGCCGGCGAGCACGTGCAGGCTGGGCACTCACCGCGGGCTGCCCACAGCAGCGCAGCTTGACCTGCGCCGTGCACCGCCTCGCCAGCCAGCCATGCGGCGAAGGCCATCGAAGTGCCGTCGGCTTGCACTTTGAGCCCAGTGCCAGCGGGGCAGGCACAGACGAATGCGGCGCTCTCTCTCCCCACGGCTCCGCTTCACGTTTCAAAACTGGACATATGTATATGTCTATATGTATATATATATGGATACGGTGCAATATCTGTCGTGGAATGCGTGGTGTAATCTATGGTGTTCCATCTATGTGGTGCTGTCCACGTGTTGGAGTAGATGTCGTGCAATCCATGTTGTGCCATCTGCGGTGTGCAACGTATGTCGTGCAATGTAGGTGGTGCAATCTATATGGTGAAAAAGCTGTACGTTGTGCAATATATATTGTGCAGCCCGTGTGGTGCACCGCAAATTTTGCAATGTATGTGGTGCCGTATCGGTTGTGCAATCTATGTTGTGCAATCCACTTTGACCGTCTTGAAGCTGTCCTCTCCGCTGCTCGTGCAAACACACCACCCTCCCACCCGCAACTTGGTCGCAAGCCATCTTAAGACAAGACCGTGACGGTAGGTACCAAATGGCACTTGGCCACGGCACCGACGCCGACGACAACAACGACGGCGCCGCCGACACCGACTACGACGACATCGACGACGTCTCCAACGACTTCGACGACGACAACGACGACGACGACACCGACGACGACGACGCCGACGACGACGACGATGACGACGGCGACGACGACGCCGACGCCGACGACGCCGACGACGACGACGACGGAGACAATGACGACGACGACGACAACGACGTCGCCAACGAAGACGCCGACGACGGAGAAGGGAGGACGACGACGGCAACAACGACGACATCGACGACAACGACGAGGGAGGTGGGAGGACGACGACGACGCGAACGACGAAAAAGGAGAAAGGACGGCGACGCCGACGACGACAACGACGAGGGAGGAGGGAAGACGACGACGACAACAACGACGACGACGACGACGGCGACGAAGAAGGAGGGACGACGACGAGACGCCGACGACGGACGACGACGACGAGGGAGGAGGAGGAAGGACGACCACGGCGACATCGACGACGGAAACGACCACGACGCCAAAGAGGACGACGACGACGAACACGAGGAACGACAGAGGACGACGTAGGCGACGACGACGATGACGATGCGGGAGGAGGGAGGACGGCGACGACGACGACGACGACGACGACGACGACGACGCCGCAAGAGCGCGCGCACGCTTTTGTTGAAAATCCGTGTTGCGAAACCTTGTGTTTGTGTATGTTTTTTGGACGCGCGATTTTGAAATCCTTCCGAAACCTGAAGAATTTCGGCGTACGCGCGCGACGACGCGCGCGTCTGCACTTCGTCCCATTTTTTGCACAGGATACTCGCGACGGCACTCGCGCAGGGGCATTCGACAGATTTCGACATGGACGCGCGCAATACCCGTTTGGTAGCATGTTGTGAAAATCTTGAAAAACTCATGGTTTTCTTAGAATTTCGCAAGAGGTCGCGCGTAAGTTTTTTTAGCAAATCATTGTCACGAAAACCTGTGCTGTTGTATGTTTTTGGAAAACTCGATTGCGAAATCCTTCTGGCACCGAAGGTTGTTGAAAGATTTCGGCATGCGCGCGCGCGACGACGCGCGCGTGCGCACTTCGTCCCATTTTTGCAGAGGGGTTCGCGAAACAGTGTTATGTTAGAACAGAAAATGTCACCGCATAGTGTATGTTTTTTCCAAGGAACCTCAGAGGGGGGGACCCGGCCCCCCGGGGATAGTGAAAATTCGTATTCGGGATGCACATGTGGTCAGAATCATATATATATATATATATACACATACATATATATATATATATATATATACATATATATATGAATTACATACCCGAAAGGGGGACCGATAACGCCGGGGGGGGGTAGAGTCTATTCATTTTCTTTTTAGAAAGGAGAATATGTCTGCAAAACATTCATTGCAAAGACGACGGGCGGCGCCGGGGAGGCGACGGGGGAACGGCGACGGCGACAACATAGCCGTCAGACTGTCACACAGGCCCAAACGACGGGCGGCGACGAGGCGTTGACGGGGTGGCGACGGCGACGGCACAACCCTCACACCGCCACGCCGGCCTGGCTCCTTTGAACAGAAGTAAGAAACCATCAGTGCAAGCATTGTTTGGGGGACATGGCTGTCGTTGGAAACCTTTCGCTCCATATGGAACATGTAAAACATAACATGTGTACGGACGAACAGCACTCATTTTTCAAAAAGAAGATGTTGCCGAGACTTTCGCTAAATCTATGGCCAGTGATGTAAGGTTGCGCAACGGCTACTCGGATGGAGCGTAGCTGTCCTTCACATCGATACTGTTACTGAGCCTTTCCTTCGAGTTTCTAATCATATGTTGTGTTTGAAGTGTTGTTGCGCTGTTTTGAGCGACGCGGGCAAAACGCGGATCATTTCCAACACGGGCCTCTCGCTTGAATCGAAAACCAGTGGGGAATTTGTTTTTAAGGGGGCGTTCCCTGTAGTGCAGTCGAATGCTCGGTTGGCCTCGGGGCCTTGGGACGGGATGGTGTATTGCAGCATCGCCGCACCCCCCACAGGAACGCCCTCAGATCCTCCGTTTCCTCCCCCCGGAGATCTGGGCGATACGAGAATCGCGACTGCCCTCTTCGCTCCATTTCGGACCTCGGGGCCCTTATGGTACGCCCGCGGTGACGCTGACACAGCACACGGTGACGCTGACACCGCACACGGTGACGCTGACACAAAACTCAATCGGGGTTACTCATCGATCGACTATGATTCTGTGCGGTTCCAATCGATCACGGCCCACGGATGTCCACAAACGGTACTTGAGCAGAGCTTTCAGGAATAACACATTGGCCGTCCCAAGACCCAGCGATGTTCGACGAACTCAGAATGAACAATATGCAACTCAAGTCGCGTGAACCGCAGCCCTAGTCCGAAGCCAAGTGGTGTGCCGAGCGCTGGCCGTGGTGCGCAGATGCGACGGCCGGGCGGTCATCAGACACAGAGGCGAAACTCGCGAACTTTGAGCAGCTCGGAGCGCGACGTCAGCTCCCCGTCGAACCTCGCAGAAAGATGCCATGCCCGAGCTATGGAGAGATGCCTCCCGCAGCACGGAGGATGGCGCGCGACAGTTTTCAGAGATGGGGGAAGAGTAAGACAAAGAGAAGGGACGACCCTAGATCAGAGGTCGGCTTCATTAGGCGGCACGCAAGCACCGGAGCCCGAGGTTGTGAAGAAGCGTGCTCCAAAAAACAGCCGCGAGAAGCAAGCGTGTGGGAACCGCGGGGGAATAGAGGCAGGAGTGGACCTGGCCACGAAGAGAGGGGACGGACGGTCACGATCGTGGTGAGACAAAGAGCCCGTCCACGGCCCGAGGGAGATCCGCTGCCAATCGCGAGGAGGGTAAAAAGAACACTACTTTGTGACCGCGACCGCGGGCGGGCACCCGCGCGGCGTCAGAAGGGTCGAGCAGCAAACGAAAACCGGAAGCACAGCGCAACTGTCGCCGGCTAGACGCTGGAAAAGAAGGCCACAGGGTGACGAAAACCGTAAAGGAACGCTACACGTCAAGACATACATGCTCATCTCTTGGATCAGCGCTGGACGCTCCTCCCTGGCGCGCGGAGCGCGCCGAGGGGCGGCGACGAAGGCGCCGCCAGGGGGGCCCAGCGCAGATCCCAAGAAATCTGGGCGAAGCTCCGATCAAGTGTCCTTGTCTCTCTGCAGTTATTGCTCTTCGACAAAGAGAGGTCCGCTGCCCTCGCGATACAGGGGGAGGACTAAGATAGAGGCCTCCCGGACGGGGTCAGAAGAGATGGGGTCGGAGATTGCGCCGCATCGCCGATGCATTGGCGACGCACGGGAGGCGTCGGCGACGCATCGGCGCCGATGCTTCGGTGATGCATCGGCGGTGCAGCGCGGTCCTCCGACCATATCTACTCGGACCCCACCTGAGAGGCCTAGATAAGAGGAGGAGGACGAGGATGAGGAGGAGGAGAAGGAGGAGGAGGAGAATGAGGAGGATGAGGATGATGATGATGATGATGATGATGATGATGATGATGATGATGATGGTGATGATGAGGAGGAGGAGGAGAAGGAGGCGGAGGAGGAGGAGGAAGAGCACGAGCACGAGCACGAGCACGAGCACGAAGGGCGGCGGCCTTCATGATGTTCTTCTGGATCTCGGTGGGCGGCTGCGGAGGCGGAGGCTCCGTGTCCTCCTCTTCGTCGTCCTCCTCGCGGCCGCGCCCAGCCCCAGCTGGGCCGTGCGCGGGGGGCAAGGGAACTGCCGGGAGACACGGCCGAGACACTGGTCGGTGGAGGGGGCGGGGGGCGGGGGAAGGAGGAGGCGGAGGATGACGAGGGAAGCAGAGGGGGAGGGCTGAAGAAGACCGCAACCATTTCGGCGCAAGCAGCCTCGGAGCCCTGGGGGCTTCCGCTTGTGTGCAGCCAAGGGCAGGGCCGGGCCCCACGCTTTCTGACAGGACGTGCATGTCTATCCGTTTTGCGAGCCCCTGTCGGAGCAACTGTTTTCCTGCGCGCACCAGGTGCACACGAGAGAGATTCCATGAGTTCGTTGGACGTTCTCTTGGGGCCCAGGAAGCCTGTGTGGCAGCGTACTTTCATTCAGGCAAATTGGTATCTCGGGTCAAATGCGCTTGTGTATTACTGGCCCCTGCTGCCGTCCAGACGGCGGCCAAAGCAGCCCATGAGAACGTCATGGCGCAAGGAGCCGAGAAGCATCGGGACCTAGAGGCTCGTGGCAGTCTGCAGCTCCGAAAGGCGATTTTACGCTGCAGGCGATCCTCAAGCGCCTCGGAGGGCTTGGAGAAGGGGAGCACATCCTCTTTGCCTTTGCAACTGTGGGCATCGTCAGGAACTTCCTTTCACAGGGGAGATGGCGGCATCAAAAAGATCAACGAGTGGCTCGCACACTGGCAGCAAGCTGCACGGTTCGCGGGTGATCAGGAAGATACACAAGTGGTCGAGAAGCAGGTGGAGAAATTGCAGAGGCAGAATCAAACTGCCAAGCCGCTCCACATCCAGTAGCACTCCATCACGATGGGCTCGTGGCGCTACAACTGAGTTGGGGCCCAAGCTCCAGGCCACCCGGCAGGGAGAATAGGAGGCCAGGGAGATCCCGCATTAACAGATCAGCGACGCGAAGCAGGCGGCAAAGCGTCAGATCGACGTGCTGGAGCAGGAGGCAAAGGGGAGCTTCGCGAAGTCTGTAGCCGTGGGCGAAGCGGCTTCTGTTCGCACTGGTGCTGCTGCTCCGCCCTCTGCTGTGCCTGGACCAGATGGTGACGACACAAAGGTCGGCGACGACGAGCTCGACGAGACCGCGGAGACCACCCGGCACACGCGGGAAGCAGAGCAGGCAGCGGCTGATGCAGCTGCAGGGGAAGCACGAGATGCAGCTCGAGCTGTCCACGAGGAGGCAGGGCGAGTGCTGCGCATCGGCGGCGCGTTTGACGATAAGTTGGATGCGCTGTACGAGGCGTGCTTCAGGTACGTCAGCTTCCCTATCCCCATGCAACGCTGCATGTGGCTCGATAACTATGGTTTGGGTAATGATGGGTCTGGAGCGAGCTCATCACAGACGTTTCTGGAGCGGACCGCGCCCCGGTCTGGAGCGTGTGCAGGTGCTGCGACGCGGACCGCGCCCTGGTCTGGTAGTGGTGACCCAGCTGCTGTCCTGCCAACACGAACCAAGAATAAGACGGCCAACCAACAATTACGGAATTTCTCTTAGAACCCCGACTCCTAGAGTTCCGTGGGAACTGTTCGGACTGGCGATCGGATGGCGGCAAACTCGGTTCGAAACCTTAGTTCTGTACTGGCCAGGGAACGAGGGTGATTCGTCGTGCGACCACCGCTAAGTCCAAGCATGTCCCGAGGAGGAAATGACTCTCTGTTCATGTGTGCCCTGAGGTCAGCACGGGCGATCGTGCGCTTGCGACGTCTGCTGGCGTCTTGGCCGGAGGCCGAAGGCGCATCAATGAGATGACGCTTAAAACCAAGGGGCTCGCCAGTGGCGCTTCTGCAGGTGCACCATTTGATCGAGTCTCACCCGCGAGCAGGTCAAACTAAGCAAGGAAGGAAAGCCCCTCGGACGACCCCCTAGGCGGGTCATCCTGTGGGCCCTGAACAGGTTCAAACACGACGCGGGACATGGACCTGATGACCTGAATCCTAGAGCCTGGACGCTTCTTCACTATGTGCTCCTAGGCAGGCTAATGGTCGTGATGTTGTCTTGGGAGAAGGAACGTGGTGTGATCCCTGGCAAGTTCCACCACCATCGGCTTCCAAAATGCGTCTGAGGGTGCTGGACTGCGCCCGCTGGCGCTATTTTGCATCGATTGTCCGGTTCTGGGGAAGGGCACGCCAGCGTAAAGCACGTGGCACGAGCATAGGGGCTCAGCCACCGTATCCAGTTTGTTTCGGGGAAGGCTCGCTTTGCGGGCCCTGCCCGACGCTGCCCTCACCCGGGGCTTAAAGATGAAAAGGAACCGCTCTTTCAATGGCCTCTTCCTCAGTTGGGCTAAGCAGTAAGCAGGGTGGAGGGTGACCTCAAGTCCCCTGCTCCTGCTGGACCCTTGCCCCTTCATAAGAAATGCTAAGAAAGGTGGTCGTGGTCCACGGGTGGGGAGTCAAATTTCCGAGACTCCAAGTTTTGCAACCCGACCTTGGGTGAGAGATGTAACTTGCCACTGTCGCTCTCCAAGGTCGGCGTTGTTCAGCCCGCTGGTGCAGATACGCCCCAAACGGGGTCGAAGCGATAGTCGTGTTTTGTGTTTTGGGCGACTGTCATTGACAGGCGCTCTCGCAGCATGAAGATAGAAGGAGGAAAGAGAGGAGGAAAATTGGGAGACACGACTAGAGAGGAGATGAAGGTTTGGACTGGGACGGGGCAAAGCATCTCAACGCTTCGACGACTAGGCTGTTATTGGAGCTCGCCACAAATTCGGCTCCTCCAAGGCTGGTGCCCATGTGACACGGCTCATCTGTAAACATTCAAGGCGCCTCGGGCCTCGTCCTTCTCCATCTCCTGCTATTTACTCCTACCGTCACCGTCGTTCGTTTCGTCCTCTTCTTCTTTCTCCCTCATTATCTGGGACTCGGTGGAATGGCGAACGCCCTGCGAATAAACACTCCACTTGGGTTCTCTCTGAAGTCCGCTGCCAAAAGGTCTCGCAATCCAACGCTGCAGTAATGCTTCGGCCACGAGGAACCTCAACAAGAGGCCCGGGTCCTCAAGCCCATGTATTTCCATGCGTTCGGCTCTTGGGGGGCATACGAGAAAAAACACGTTCGTATTTGGAGGATGGGGTTTGGCAGGTACAGGGCACGAGTGTGTAATAAACACCCTCAGCATACTTAGTATGCATGACCTGATAATTCTACCTGACCCGTCCTTCAAATCTGATAGTTACCCTCCTGACCATAGGGATCTCACTTGGAGGCCTCCCACAGCGGGCCCGAATCTGTGGTCGGAGGGTCGCAATGCATCCCCGATGCATCGATGATGCGCTGTTGACGGTGGGATCACGTGACACGGGCTCTGGATAGCGACACATTGATCGCAAAAGAGTCGACGACGCGGCACGATCCTACGACCCCGTGTGCTCTGGCCCTATGCGGGAGGCCTGGGTCAGTGCAAGCCTCTTGGGACCCAAGAAGTCGACGGCTCCCCGGCAGAATACGAGCTGTTTTTTTCCTGCAAGTACCTGCCTGAACGTGGGCCAAAATTTCTGACACTGCGTGAACCGTTCGAGGGCAAACTGCAGCAAATCAGTGTCGTGTAGCTTTCGGCGCGTCAACACAACCTCGGTCGCGTCCCTGTGTGAAGTGGAATAGCTTCGGGTCTGCAACTGAACAAATAACAACTCCGAGAACAAAACCAAGACGAAGACTGCGAACGCCGCCGTGCAACGGGAACCGGAACTGGAATACGTATACCAGGGCTTCGAGTAGTGGCGGCTTCTCGGCGGACGCAAGCTTCCGAATACGGTTGGGGTTCGATTCTGGTCTTCTGTGGGAAATGCCAGATAAGCGTCAAGAGAACGGAGAACTCCAGTCGCTGCCGCGTGCCGCTGTCGAGGCACGTTTTGGCGAGAGCGACAGGCGAACGCAGCGCAAAGCGTGGGCTGTTTGGTAAGATGAAACAGACGAGCTGGGCCGCCCTTCCTCGAGCGCCGCCTCCTCTGCAGCCTCATCGGCCGCCGCCTCCTCTTCAGCCTCCTCGGGCGCCGCCTCCTCTGCAGCCTGTGGGCCGGAAACATCCCGAAACATACTGACACTTCCAGAACTCTCGAGGAATCTCAGCCGAGAGCCTTCGAGGCTCCTCCTCCTCCTCCTCCTCCTCCTCCTCCTCCTCCAACTCCTCCTCCTCCTCCTCCTCCTCCAACTCCTCCTCCTCATCCTCCTCCTCCTCCTCCTCCTCCTCCTCCTCCAACTCCTCCTCCTCCTCCTCCTCCTCCTCCTCCTCCTCCTCCTCCACCTCCTCCTCCTCCTCCTCCTCCTCCTTCTCCTCCTCCCCACCCCCTCCTCGGCGCCGGCGCAGAGGCCAGCAGCTTGGCAGAATCGAGGCAGCCAGCGTCGCAGCAACACTCCGCACACACCGCCCAGGCGGAGGCGCGAGATCACTTGCCGCTGGCGGCTGCTGCGTGGGCGCCGCGGGCCTCACTCGGAGAGACGGCCGCGTCGGCCGAGCGGGCGTGGGGGCCGCTGCGCGTGCGCGTGGGGAGCGGGACGCGGGCCGCGCCCGTACTGTACATTCGGCGACACGCAAAGAGTTGTTCCAGGCAGGAGTGACTGTAGTGCACGGCGACACGGGGGACACAGGGTGGCCAAACCTGGGCGCGCAAGCCGCTGCTGTCGCCTAAGGTTCAGCGATCGGGGGCACCCATTGGGCCCGCATCAGAGGCCACTCTGGCGAAAGGTCACTCTTACGTCTGGTCGATACATGCTAGTGCTGCTGGGATCCCCTGGCTCCGGCGCACAGGCATCTTTGGGGCGAGAGTGGTGTCATGATAGGATTGGCTCAGAATGCGTTCCAAGATTTCGAGAGCATCTAGCGGCGCAGCTGGTGGGGAACATCTTGGAACTTGGTATTATTATGAACTGTTTCTCTTTTGAATCCGCTGACCCCTTGGGGTTCATCGGCGTGTGTGATGTTTCCCCCTCCCCAAACCCCTCTCCTGAGAGCCCGGTCTGGTCGATTTGGAGCACCACGGATGGACAGAGGGCCCCGAAACAGGTCAAGAGGGCACCAAGAGGCCCTCTGGACGGTCCAAGAGGGCCACGAGCCGCCAAAAAATCGATCGAAAACGCCCACGCTGGCATCTAGACGACTCATAACGCCCCCAAGACACTCCAATAATACCTCAGCAGGCGTCCCAAGACGGCCTCAAAGAGCAACAATCGCCCCATCTCCAATGGAAAACCTGCATTGTTAGCACAGTCGCTTCTTCTGCGATCACAACATGCGATCACAACATCCAAGACATCCCAAGCAGCCTCTTGGGTCGTCCCAAAACGGCCGAATAGTTCCCACAGAGGGCTCCGACCCAAACAGGGGGACAGAGGGCCCCAAAGCAAGCCAAGAGGGCACCAAGAGTCCCTCCGGACGGCCCAAGAGGGCCACGACCCGCCGAAAGACCGATTGAAAACGCCTGCGCTGGCTTCCAGACGGACCACGAAGCCCCCACGGCGCCACAAGAAATCCTCTAGGGGCGTCTCAAGACAGGCTCAAAGAGCAACACTCTGCCAATTTTCATGGGACAGCTTGCATTTGTTAACGCATTTTTTAACACATTCGCCTCTCCTGCGATAGCAGTCTCCATGACGGCCCAAGAAGCCTCCTGGGTCGCCACAAGACGGCCAAAGAGGCCCCCCAGAGGGCGTTCAAACAAACCAAACGAGTGGACACAGTGCCACAAAACAGGCCAAGCGTGCACCAAGAGTTCCTTCGGACGGCTCAAGAGGGCCACGAGCCGCCGAAATACCGATCGAAAACGCCAACGCTGGCCTCCAGATGGCGCACGACGCCCCCAAAGCGCCCCAAGAAGCCCTCAAGACACGTCCAAAAACGGCATCCAAAAGCAAAGGTCGCCCCATCTCCACAAGAAAATCTGCACGTTCAGCACATTCGCCTCTCCCGCGACCGCAACTTCCAAGGCAGCTCAAGAAGCTTCCTGGGTCACCCCAGAACGGCTCAAGCGACCCAAGAGGGCCCCCAAACCGCTCAAGCACCTCACGACGGCCCAGGAGAGCCCTGCGACTGCCAAAAGAAGGGGTCCAGAGGGGAAGCCCACACGGACATTTCGAGCCTTCTACCCCGAACCGCCACCCAATTGTCCCAAGAAGCCCCCGACAAGCAATCAGGGAACTCCGTGAGGCCCCCCAACAACTCCTCAATGGCCCCTGGGGGCCTCCACGATATTCAAAAACGGAAATCCCAAACGCCCCCGAGACGCCTCCCACGAGACCCTGCCCGCCATCCGTGTGGCCTCCGACCCGCAGCCCAGGCGGAATGGCGGGATGCGCCGAAGGCTAGTCTATAATCGTTCTTAGGGAATTTGAACATATGCCCGCCGTGAATACATGTGGGTTCTCCTCAGTTCCCCTGCGCGTGCACGGCATACATTTGAAATGCCAGCCGCAACAATCATTACTGCCGATGCGGGCTGTGCTGCTGAGTGCCGTGGGCCCCAGGGGCATCTTTGGCGAGCGTGCGGCAGATTGTCCAAGACGGTCCCGACACGCCCCACAGCTTGCTCCGAGACCCGCACGACGGTCCCCAAACGTCATATGACGGATGCCCGCCGAGTGCACACGTGGGTAATCGCCCGTTTCTCCGCTCCTTTTCTCGCATACCCGAGCGGCCTAAACAGAGCGCCAACATAGTCCAAGACAGCGTCGAGATGGCCCAAGGTAGCCCAACTATGATACAAGATGGTATCGAGACGGCACTCGACCAGCCCAAGACGGCCCAGGAGTCAACCAGCGGCGCCTCGGAGGCATGATTAGTTGCTTTCCTACGCACACTTCAAAGAAAGGTACCGTTTCTAATATAATCGGCAAGGCCTGCAGACTAGTCCACGGGCTTTTCCACGATCGTCCCATCAGGTCCTTCCCACCGCATGTCCCCTTCAACCACCTTTCCCGACAAGCTTCTCCGGAACATGACCACGCTTTCGAGACGAGTGTAGCTCCTGCGACGAAGGCCCTCTCGCGGCCTACACGAATCCAATAACTAAGCCCGCAGACAACATCCTACCAGCCCTCTGGGCGCAGGTGGGTTAAGGAAACCTCTCGTCCGAACCCCTTCTTCCCCTTCGGGAAGTGACCAACCCCTGCTCCGCATTCATTGACACCAACCCTCTCGACCGACGGCAGACCCGAAGTTACGACCCCCCTAACCATCCCGGCCATCACAAGTATTACAAAACAAAGCGCACTTTGCGACATAACCTGGATCATCTTCGGAAGTCCAGCCCTCACTGTGTATTCGTCTGTTGTCCCACGACGGCAGGGGGCATCACAGCACCCCGTATGTGCCACCCCACCGTGCCCCTCAGGAAAACAGCACCGCACTGTGCACGTGGCGGCAACATCCCCCGACCCCTTGGGGCGTTCCCAGCGTGTGGGATGATTACCCCTCCCCCGACCCCTCCACCCAGACCCCGGTCCCGTCGATTTGGCAGGAGGGGGGTCCGCTCGGATGCCCCAGGACCGGCTCCACGGCATCATGGGAGGGCGGAGGCCCCCACAGCGCGCCTATCAGTACCAAGAGGCCCCCGAGATTGTCCAAGAGGGCCCATATGGTCGCCGACGGCTCTTCTGGGACGGCCGAGTAGCCTCCAGACGGCCCAAGACGCCCCCAAACACGGCCCAGGACGCCTCCAAGAGCCCTCCCAAGAAGGCCCCACGAGCCAACATTCATGGGTGCTCAATCCGTGTTTGACAAAATGTCGCGTTCTCGCCTCTTCGGTTTCCCGACGCTCCACGACGGCCTAAGAGGCCCCAAAGATCCTCCAGGCGTCGCCAGCGGCCTCTAAGAGGGCCCCTAAACAGGCAAAGAGAGCCCCCACACGACCACAAAGGCAGCCTCAGAGGCCTCCAACATAGCCTAAAAGAGCCCCTAAACTACCGCAAGAAGAACCTCGGAAGGGAACCCGAGCCCGCATTTCGATTTCTCGGGCCCCCCAAGACCCGTGAGAATCCTTCCCGAAGCTCCAAGAGGCCCCCCATAAGCCCCCGTGAAGCGCCCAGAAGGGCACCAAAAAGTTCTCCAAAGGCGCCCAGGCTCTCAGGAGCAACCCACCACAAAAGCCAGTGTACCAAGGGGTCGGCGGTGTGGCGTAAATCTTAGGAAAAGGCCCCAAAGAAGTGCCCCAAGGGGCCAAAAGAAACTCCCAGGAGGCCTCCAGGAGGCCCCCAAGAGGCTCCCAAGAGGCCCCGCGACGACGTGACTGTACGTGCTCCGGACGTGCACCCCGCGAAGCGAGAGGAGTCTGCAGTCTATCGCCAGCTCCTTTCCGCACTCAGGACAGCAATGCGGGCACGGCCGACGGGCTCCCTGTGTATGCTTCGCTCTCGTGCGCTGCTGATCCGCCGGATGGTTCAAGCTGCTCGATGGTCCTCGCCGAGAACAGACGCACACGCCCGAGCGATGCCACGACGTCGGGGATCTTCTGACCCGGGTCAATCCAAACCCGTGTCAGCGGGAAACCAAAAACTGCAATGCAAGAATAAAAAACTGCAACGCAGATCTTCGCAAACCCGGGTCAGCCAATATGCGCGGCCGCCTCGCGGCCACGAGCGGCTCGCTAACCCGGGTCAGCCAGAGGGGGTCTTCGCAGGATCCTGCAGGATCTGGTGCCCTGGCTGACCCCCGTTTGCATTGACCCCGTCTCAAGGCTCCCGACGACGGACTAGGGGAACAAAAAGTGACATAAACATAAAAACTCGGAGGTCCGCCCAGATTTCTCGGATCGGCGCTGGACCCCCCTCCCTGGCGCGCGGAGCGCGCCAAGGACGGCGCCGGAGGCGCCGCCGGGGGGCCCCAGCGCCGATCCGAGAAATCCGCGCGGATCTCCGAGCTTTCATGTTTATGTCCCTTTTTGTCCCCCTAACGACGGACATGTTGGTCCATCCCCGGCCCGAGAAGAAGAGCGGGGGGGCCAGGGACGTAATGAAACAAGGCGAGGGCGCCCTGAAATCTGGGAAATATCATGGCCCTCGCCATGATATCCCCCCCCCCTAGGCATCACCCCCCTCTTTGGACCCCCTCGAATCTTCCCGCCCACTTCCCATATTTTCTGGGATTCGACGATTGATTGAGTCCGTGTGTTTCTTTCCCCCGGCCCGAGAAGCTCTCCCCGCAACCCGAGAAGCTCTCCCCGCAACCAGAAAGGCCACGCGGGCGCGCCCGGGTCGGGCCGCCGCCCCGGCGCCCTGGCCCTGAAGGGGCGCGCGCCCTGGCACAGGGGGCGCGGGGCGCCGCGGCATCGGGAGGAGGCCGGCGGCAGCCTCTCGGGAGTCGGAGGGCGCGCGAGGAGGGGGGAGCGAGGAGGGGGGAGCGAGGAGGGGGGAACGCTCGAGGAGGGGGGAGCGAGGAGGGGGGAGCGAGGAGGGGGGAGAACGAGGAGGGGGGAGCGAGCGAGGAGGGGGGAGCGGCGAGCGAGGAGGGGGGAGGGAGGAGGGAGGACGCCTTCCCAGAGGGCGGCGGGGCCTCTCAGAGGCCCCCTGGTCCTTCGGCGAGGTTTGCGGCTCGGTGCGCGCGTCGTTCGGCTCCGTGCGCACACCGAGCACTCCTCCTCCTCCTCCTCCTCCTCCTCCTCCTCCTCCTCCTCCTCCTCCTCCTCCTTCTCCACCCCCAGCCAAGGGTAGTCACCTCAGGGTTGCCGCCGATCGCCAGGAGGGGCCTCTGTGAAAATAGGTGAACTTTCATGTGCGAAACTGGCCGAAACCCAAGCAACGGCCGAGAAGGACGCACCGACGTAGCGATGACGCAACAACCGACTGCACCGGACCGACCGAATGCAACTGGCTGCAAGGCTGCCGAAAGCACCGAACCGCAGACACCCTTGCAACCCCGCCCTGGACATCAAAATAACATCGACGTCCACGGAGTGCATGGCGTCCTCGACACAGCGGACGTAAACCCACTGGAGGAACATGTGCGCTCCTCGCCGGCGACGTCGTGCGTCGGCGGCGTTCCGACAGACGAGATCCAGAAACGCGAGGGTTACCGATCCCCCTGGGACCGCTATCGGCGCCGATTCCCCCAGGGACGTCGACCCGATGCACCTCGGCGCTGCCGAACTTCCTGCCCGAGCCCACGACAACAGTGCAATCCAGCGAGGGGGCGGGAGTGCGCACGGCTGCAGGACGCGCCTGCGCTTGACTTCCCCCAGCGCGACTTTGAAGAGGCCCCAGGACACACAAATAAATACACACAAATGAAAATATTTGCAAATTTGCCTATATTTTCTAGGTTTTTGTCTTCCCCACCACTTCCCATAGTTTCCAATATTTTCTGGGGAATCGACGATTAATTCTGTCTGTGTGTTGTTTTCCCTCCTGAGACTTCCTCACTAACAGGACTGGACAGCACAGGACAGGGCAGGACGAACAGGAAGAAGCCGCGCCCAGGCGGCGCCTCGGCAAAGCATGCCATCGCAGCGCAGCAGAGCAATCCACAAGCCAACCGGTCGAATCAATCGAAGCAATCGATGAACACGAACTGTCCGCCGAGACTCGCTGGACATTGCGGTGGCGATGGGGGCGAGGACCCCGGCACCTGGACGATGCTGAACTTTGCGCCGACATCCCACGCCAACAGTGGGATTCGGCGAGGTGGCGCGGCTGCGCACGGCTGCATCCCGCCACCGAGCGCCTGCTGCGCTGCCAGGCCAAGACTGGCACGGAGAGGTCGAGGAGGGGAGGAATGGGAGCACGCTCCAGCCATCAGGAAATTCCAGGAGACGGTCCAAGGGACTGACGCAATCTCGCAGATCCGAGATGACCGAACAGACCAGATCACACGTGCGGCAGCAGCTGGAAGAGAGATCTGCAACGCTGACCTCCCTGATCAGCAGCATGCCATGTAACGTACCATCATTCCTTCCATCGCTGCCACATGCATAGGTACAAAGCGATGGTCAGGATGTAACATCGGCGCGCCTCGTCCTTGGCTTCCTCGTCCTCCTCCTCTTCCTCTGCGTCCTTCCGGAATGATTGCAAGGAGTTGTCAATCCAAATGCCACGAAGGGAATGGGTCCAGAGGGGGTAATGGGGGCCCGGATACACTGGGGCGTCCCCCAGGACCAAAACGAAGCTGTCGTGCCGAATCCTGTTTGTCCAAGGGGCCCTGGGACACACAAACAAATAGACACAAGTAACAAGATTCCCCATACTTTCCCATATGTTCTGGGTTTATGTTGTCCCCATCCTACTTAAGGACCACATCCCAAGAATAGTTTCGAGCACCCGGAATGTGTCGAAAGAGTGTCGAACGAGTGTCGAAAGAGTGTCGGGCGAGTGTCTCCCAGGGCCCGACGCGTGGAAACCTTCGAGTTTCGGCATTTTTCGCTGGTGCTCGGAACTCTGTCTGGTGATCAAGGCTAAAGCAAGTTGGAACATCATAATTCTAGATGTTCGTCTTCCCCCCCACTTCCCATATCTTTGCACATCTTTCCTGGGAATCGACGATGCCTTGTGTCCGTGTGCTTTTGGTCCCTCCCGAGTTCGGGCGGCCGCGGGGCTCAGGAGTGGGCCCGACGAGGGCCGCATGCCGCGGGCCACCTTCTTCGCCAGTCGGCGGCGAGCGAGAGGGCCTCGCTGTCGTTCCGACAGCTGGCCCGTGTCGGGTCGGGCGACAAGGGGGGGTTGCTAAAACGACGCGAAGATCGGGACAAAATCGGATCGGGATAACTCGAAACCTCTGAGAATCGGCGGGTTTGGAGGATGTACTGGGCGCCGCGGCCGCTCCAGAGCGTTCCGGAACGCTCTGAGAGCGCTCCTGAACGCTCTGGAGCGATTTATCCCGATCCTAGCCCTGTTTTAGGGTTGCAAAGGGGGGGTTTGAGAATCAGCTCACGTGGCTGATTTTCCTGGCGCCGCCCGGCGCCGGAGGCGGCTGTGTATCGAGGACTAGGCCCCTCGGTGGGGCCGAAGCCGGCGGCATGCAGCAGACTTCGCAGCCCCCCCTTTCCCAATCCCCCCCCCTTTCGTCCGGCCCGAGAGGTTGCTGGTGTCTTCGGGGAGGGGACGCCGCAGACCATTTCTCGGAAGGCCGGGGGGGGGCGTCCGAGCTTTCGGAGAAGGACCGCCCCCTCTCACTTCCCCCCCCCTGGCCCGCCGCCGAACCAAGCGGTGAGCTCCTTCTCCATCGCGAGGCAGTGAAGGGGCCCTGGGACACACAAATAAATACACACAAATAAAAAGATTTCTCATACTTTCTCATATTTTCTAGGATTTTGTCTTCACCCCCGCTTCCCATATTTTCTCATATTTTCTGGGGGATCGCCGATTAATTGTGTCTGTGTGTTTCTTTCCCTCCTGAGCCAGACCAAGGCAAGGCCGCGTGAGGCGCGCGGGTCAAGCTTCGGCCCCTCTGCCTGCTCTTGCCCGCCCACGGGCAGCAGCACGCGCCGAAGAGCCGCACGACACCAGCGGGCCAAGGGCACGGAAGAACGCAAGGCATCAAAAAATCTAAAAGAGATACTCCAGATTTCGTAATAAAAGGGAGGGGGTCTGGACCCTCCAAGACAAGCCATTTCAGACCTCCCCCGTGGGAGAACCCTCCAAAACATCGTCCCCAGACCCCCCCAGGCCCTCCAAGATAGCCTGGAAGAGACCCCCCCCGAAATGAGACCCCCCTCCCTTTATTACGAAATCTGGAGTACCATGATGCGATTGGTTCAGGATACCAACTGGTCGGAAGAGGTGGGTAGAAACATGAAGCAGGACGACCGTGGAAATCTATTGGATACCCGCCCCCCTGAACATCAAGGGGGAGGGAAAACCACTCGGTCCTTGAGATAGGACGGCCCTTTCCATAGATTGGGATGTGGGAGCCCCGCAAACTTTCAACGACCGATGCGGCCCTCGATTCTGGGAATTCTGGAGCTTCCGGCGGCCCTCGATTCCAGCATTTCTGACGGCCGTCGGCCATACGTCCTCGGCCAATCGGCTCCGGCCGCGCAGCATCTACAAGACAGCCGCCAAACCTGGAAACACACCAGCAGAACCAAGGAAACTTCTCGCCAAGAAGATACCACCCAAACCTGGAACACACCAGCCAAACCAGGAAAACCCAGGAAACAGACCACCCAAACCAAGGAATACCTGGAAACATTTACGGGAAAGCCGCCACACCCAGGAGGCGTCTCCAAGGGCTCCTAAGTTCGCGCTTCGCGCTGCGCGAAGCGCGAATAACTTCGCGCTCTCGCGCCGCCCCCCAAGGGGGAGAAGAGGAGGACGAGGAGGAGGGGGAGAAGGAACGAGGACCGCGAAGCGCGAATAACTTCGCGCCCTCGAGGGAGCCCTTGCTCCGAGGTCCCAAAGCGGAAGGCTCGCTCCGCCAACAGGGCGCCCCGCGCACACCTCTCGGGGCGCGCTCTGGCCAGGACCCTGGCGAGGATCTGGCCCCTGCGGCGAGGAGCCGCTCGGGGGGCCGAGAGAATGGAGGAGGCAGCAAGATCCCTCCCTCCCTCCCCCCCTCCTCCTCCAGAAGTCTCCACAAACCCCTGAGGCCCCACCCGAACCTAAACTGCCTATACGACCACCCTTCGGGTGAGAAGTAGGTTGTGGTGGGGGGAGTTTGGCTTTCGGTGTGCGATTGGGGTCGGATCGGATTCTGTTGAAACGAGTTGGGCACCACGGAGCACCTGTTTGGCCGTCTACCCTCGGATCTCACTCTCTATCTACAAATTGTGATCTCACTACACGATCGATATCCCTCTACCTATCCATCTCACTACTACTCGATGTACCGACTTTTGCATCGGACTCACTATCGATCTCATTATTTATCTCACGATCGACCTCACGGGACACCGCGCCACGGGACACCACGGGACACAACGAGACACTACGGGACACCACGGGACACAGCGCCACGGGACACCACGGAACACCAGCGGAACACTCCCGAGCCACCGCCGGCCGACCTGGGGGCGCAGAGTCGTTGGGCAAAGTTTCGCCCTAGCCTTGTCCTCCTCCTCCTCCTCCTCCTCCTCCTCCTACTCCCCCCTCCTCCTCCTCCTCCTCCTCCTCCTCCTCCTCCTCCTCCTCCTCCTCCGCCTCCCTTCTCCTCCTCCTCCTCCTCCTCCTCCTCCTCCTCCGCAGCTTCGCCTGGCCCGCCTCCCGTTACCCCACCGAAGCACCCTCACAGCAGCAGAGGTGAAGAGGCGTGTCGAGGAGTAGGAGGTGGCGGGGCAGGAGGAGTAGCAGTAGGAGGAGGAGTAGTGAGAGGGGCGTGTCGAGGAGTAGGAGGGGCGTGTCGAGGAGCAGCTGGGGGAGGGGTGAGAGAACGGCCACTTGCGTCGCAAGCTTAGAAAAAGGATCGTGGCCGACTTGCCCAAACATGTAGCCCCCGTTGGGCCGAGCGCGGCCATGTGCCTCAGTGTTTTCACCAAGCGATCGTGGCCGTCCAAGCCAATAGCGCAGCCTGCGTTGGGGCACCAGCACGACGCCTGCGTAAATTGCGAAGACCTCTCACGCAAAACGGCTGCCAGGCCAAGCGTTCGACTATTCCCCGCCCCACCTGCGGGCTTCTCTCCCGCAACAGCGCTCTTGCACTCGGAATGGCTTGTTCTCCTGTTATACAGAACTGAGCCTGGGTGGCGGTCTGGCGGTTCCGTGCTCGCCGTCGCCGCCCCGTCGCTGCCTCGTCGCCCCCCGCCGTCTGGGCCTGGGTGGCGGTCTGGCGGATCGGTGCCCGCCGTCGCTGGCCCGTCGCCGCTCGTCGTCTGGGCCAGGGTGGCGGCCTCACGGTTCCGCGCTCACGCCGCCTCGTGGTCGCCCCGTCGCCGCCCCGAGTGTACGACAAAGATCGAGCCACGCAGATCGCACGACATGAAATGCACCATATTGAATGCACCGCGTAGAGCGTGCCGCAACACACATACTGCACCACATAGAGTCTCCATTCGACAAGAGATATAAACTCTCCACCCCTCCCCCCCGGACTTAGCGGCCCCCGTTCGCACATTGCGTCTTCATTTGTCCTGCATGCTTGTCCATCCTCAATTGGACGCCGTTTATCCCAGCAGAGCCGGTATCCCCCGCTTGATCCTCTGCAAGCATTACGATGCGCGCGCACCAGTGTATCAACGTTCAGCTATTTTCAAACACCCCTCGCCAAAGAGAACGGGACGAAGTGCACACGCGCGCGCCGTCCCGCGCGCATGCCGCAATCCTGAACGAACAAACATTTGGTTTCGTAAGGCTTCCCATAATCGAGTGTCCTGCAACCATATAAACAAAACAACACGTGGCTTGGCAACACCATAGTTTTTAACAAGCAACGTTCGCGCTCTTGCAGATTCTGAAGAAAACCGTCGGTTTGCCAACAGTTTCAGCACATGCTACCAAACATGTTTCTCAGGCGCGCATGTCGTCATCGCTCGAACGCCTCTGCGCGCGTGATGACGCAATAATTCCATGAACAAGCGGCACGAGGTGCGCACGTGCTCTTCGTCGTGCGCGCGCACATGCGTACATCCTCAACACTAGAAGGTGTCATAGGGATTAAAAAACCGAGTGCCCCGAAAACGTATACGTGAGACATCCCACGGTTTTGCAACATCAGGCTTCAAACATGCATGCGCTCGCGCTCCGGTGAATTTTCCAACATTCCTGCGAATGGCCCAGCGCGGATCAAAGAAATCCGCGCGGAGCGCCAAAGGTTTATTTGTATGAATAACGTTGTCCCCATCCTACTTCAGGACCGCATCCCAGACATAATTTCGAGCACCCGGAAGAGTGTCAAAAGAGTGTCGACGCAGTGTCGAAACAGTGTCGGGCGAGTGTCTCCCAGGGCCCGACACGTGAAAACCCTTGAGTTTCGTTACTTTCTTTGGCGCTCGAAATTCTTTCTGGTGATCAAGGCTAAAGTAGGTTGGAGCATCGTAATGTGTGTGGCGTTTTTTCTTCTTCGACTCTCGCGCGGTCACTCCCGCGGAGGGCCGCTCGGCTTTCGAGCCACAGATCGGGGCTCTCTCCTGGGGGTCGTCTGGCACCATGCGGGCACCCCGGGGACGCCCTCCACGGGGCGCCGCTGCCGGAAGCAGTCCGAGGCGGCAAGAACCTCAAGGTACAGACGCACAGAACGAGCACCGTGAAGAATCACGCCCAAAGCCCGCTCGATCCGTGACAGTGCATTGGCCCGAACATGAGCGAAGTGCAACGCCCGGTACAGCACGTGGACATTCTCGGTCCCTCCTCCTCCTCCTTCTCCTCGTCCTCGTCCTCCTCATCCTCTCCTCCTCGTCCTCCTCGCCCTCGTCCTCGTCCTCGTCCTCGTCCTCCTCCTCCTCCCCCTCCTCCTCCTCCTCCTCCTCCTCCTCCTCCTCCTCCTCCTCCTCCTCCCCCTCCTCCTCCTTCCAGTGTCTCCTCCCTCCTCCTCCTCCTCCTCCTCCTCCTCCTCCTCCTCCTCCTCCTCCTCCTCCTCCTCCTCCTTCCAGTGTCTCCAGGACCCCCGAATCTGCAGCTGGCTCCCTGCTCCCCTCCGCCCGCAGCTCGGGCTCGCGCACAGGAGGGAGCCGCGACTACGCCAGCGCGCCCCCTCTCCTCGGCCGCCTCGCCCGCGCGCGGCCGGTGCCTCCGTCAGCATGGCTCTCGCGGGGGATCGTGGGGAGCACGAGGCGTCTCTCCTTCTTCAGGCGTCCGGTCGGGGGGGGTCCCTCGGATGACAACGCTATGATCACAGAGATCGTCGAGGCCACGTGCGAGCCTGGCAAAATTGCCAACGAGGTGACAGGCATATTCTTGGCAGCGCGCTTGGCGTCCTTCGGCGAATTGCGTACGCTGGCAGAGTTCACCCCTTTCGCCGACATTGTCCACGAGTTGTCGGCTAACTGGAGGCCGAGCCCAAGTTTCCAGGAGGAGGCCGTCACGACGCCACCTGGCGCCCAGGTGGCAATGGCGAAGGCCGTGAAGAAGATCTGCCCTGCCGCACCAGCTGGAGCAGCTGAGCCATCCCAGGGCCCTGCAACTACGGCCCCCAGGAACGCCCCACAAGAGCAACTACGCATGTTCCAGGCTGCGCTTGCGCTGTCGAGCGGCTCGGCCTTGTCCCTGTTGCAGGAGCAGGAACAACCCGCCGACGACTTCGGGAAGCCGATCAAACAGGCCAGGCTAGCAGAACCACTTCTCAGGACATACCCCACCACGAAGCAGATGAAGCTGTGTGAAGCGGCGGCCAAATGCAACAAACCACTCCCGTACAGCAGCGCTGTGGAGGGGTTGGAAGACAGCTGGGCGTGGTTTGAAGGCCGCACGTTCGCTGAATAGACGTCCGGATTCATCAAATTCGCTTGGGGTGGGCTGCCCCACGGCCGGCTCAACATCCCGCCGGACACCACGATCCCGCCGGCCGCGGACACCAAGATCCCTCCGGCATAAGCAGAAAAGCGAGCCATGGCTTATGACCAGCTCGAACAGAGCAGGAAGACGGACCCAGAAGACTTCGCAGAAGACCATGCGGGCCGACAAGGATGATCCTGTGACGCAGGCAAAGAAGAACCATGCAGCGGATGCGGAGTCCAGCACCTCGGGCGGGAGCACCAAGTGGAAGCCAGATGCTGTCCACTTCTGCTTCAGCTACTTTTCCGGCAAATGCGACATGCAAGAGCGTGGCAAGTCGTGTAGATTCCACCACAAGTGCCCGCTTTGAGCCAAGACGCAGGAGAGCTGCCCCGCGAGCCACATCCGGCCGCTCGGCCTGGAGCTGATCAAGGCCAGGGACAAGCGTGCCCTAGAGGAGCGTGCCGGCGGCAAGGGCAGCGCCATGGGCGGGCACCCTTGGTCGCGCGGTCGCGGCGCGGAGGACCGGGCCGACGGCGGGTGGGCAGAGCGCAAGCGCTCCCTGTGTCGTGGCCGCGGGCCAGCGCCGCCCAAGCGCGAGCACTAGGGGTGCCCAGCTGCCGGAGGGCCCCCGGCAGCGGCCAGGACCCGCACCGCGGCGGTTGGGACGACGCCCGAGCGTGCTGCCGCCGCTCCGCCTGCCGCGCCAGCTGACCGCGACTCGACGTTGGCGCGGGCTCAGTCTCAGTCGATGCCGTTCGCGCGCCCGGAACCAGGCTGCAACTGGGGACAATCGCTCCGCGATGCCGTGTCGCTCAGGACCAAGCTTGGCGCGGGCTTCTCTGCTTTTCAGCAGCAGCAGCGGCGCAAGCTCGCCAGCTGGAAACAGCACTTCCAAGCCAACGGCGAGCAGGCGAGGTGGGCAAGCAGCATGCCCGCGAGCGTCAAGCATGCGCGGCCACCTGCGGGGGCCGCTCCTCAAGGCCGCCGTGTCAGCGGCCCGCCACGACGATGCCGGGATCGTCGGCGGGTTCCCCGCGATCGGGCGCATCCCCCCGAGCGGCGCCTGGTGGACACGCGCGAAGCGGCCCGCCGACGAGGTCAGCGACCTCCTGAAGGAAGCCAAGAGCGTCAAGACGCCGGCCGCGTCTCTCTGGCAGTCTGCGCGCCAGGGCGAGCTGTGGTCGTCGCCGCGCAAGCCGCGCGCGGGCGTTTCGAAGTTGTCCGGGGCTCTGGGCTCTCAGTTCTGGTGCGCCGAGTCTGGCGTCAGCTTGGCGATTTTGTCGAGCAGCTATACTTCGGCGTCGCGCAGGGCGGCAAAGTCCGTGGATGCCAGGGATCTCGCACTTCTGGCGCGGCTGCTTCCACCCAGCTGAATGAGAAGAGCACGCGAAAGGCATCGACGGCGTCGCCGCGTTGGCCCGGGCAGGCGCGAGCGCCCACCCGAAGGGGCGCCTCAACTTGGCCAAAATTGTTTGGAAGAAAATGTTTCACTGGGCGGGCTTGCTCTCAGAGCATCGCAGGTTCTGCGTCTCCTTCGCGCTCGACACTGGCAAGGACGAGGCGGTCGCAGTCATTCCCAATTGCACGACATTCGGCGGCCGCGCCTAGCTGCAGCAGCGTTCGCGCATGCCGCGGGCCCGCCGGTTCAATGGGCTGCTCTGCGGCCGCCACGTAGACCGTGGACGACGTGCGTGGTCGGGTGCGCTCCCCAGAGTCTAGCCGCCAGCGAACCCCAGCTGCTGCGCGACCTGCGCGATCTCCTCGGCTTCGAGGTCGCAGGGGCCGGGGGCCTGGAAGACAAGTTTTTCGAACCGAGGCGCGGCGGCGCGCTTCTGAGGGCCGCCTTCCACCAGCTACCGCCGCGCGGCATGGCGGACGACGTTCTCGTGGAGTGGTCGGTCCCCGCACAGAAAGCCCGGCAAGCCAGTCTCAACACATTCGGGTGCTTCATAGAGATTCGGGTGCTTCATAGCGATCCTCCTCCTCCTCCTGCTCCTGCTTCTCCTCCTCCTCCTCCTCCTCCTCCTCCTCCGCTTCCTCTTTCTCTTCCTCCTCCTCCTCCTTCTCCTCTTCCTCCTCCTCCTCCATCTCCTCCTCTTCCTCCTCCTCCTCCTCCTACCAGGCGGGGTAGGGGGGGGCGGAAGTGAGAAGAAGGAGGAGGGGAAGGGACGAGGGAAGCGGGAGGAGGTAGGATCGCGGAGGCAGGAGGAGGATGAGGAGGAAGAGGAGAAGGAGGAGGAGGAGGAGGGAGGGATGGAGCGAGCGAGGGAGGGGGGAGCAAGGGAGGAGGAGCAGGAGGAGGGAGTAGGAGGGGCAGGAACAGGAGGAGGAGGAGGAGGCGGAGGAGGAGGCAAGGGAGAGGGAAAAAGGGTTGGAGGAGGATGAGGATGAGGAGGAGGAGAGGAGGATGATGATGAGGAGGAGGAGTCCTGCTACTGCTGCTGCTGCTGCTGCTTCTCCTCTTTCTCCTCCTCCTCCTCCTCATCCTCCTGCTCTTTGCTCCTGCTCCTGCTGCGCCTCCTCCTACTCCTGCCCCCCTGCTCCTCCCCCTCCTCCTCCTCTTCCTCCTGCTCCTCCTCCCTCCTCCTCCTCGTACTCGTCCTCCTCCCTCCTCATCCTCGTATTCCTCCCGCTTCTCCTGCTCCTGATGCTGCTGCTCCTGCTCCTTCTCCTGGTCCCGATCCTGCTCCTGTTGCTGCTGCTGCTGTTCGCATGCCCTGTTCACGTCTGTTGGAGGTTTCGTGTGTTGGGAGGTTTGTGGTATTGGGGAGTTGGTGCGTTGAAAACTCGTGCGTCGACCCCTCGTGCTGGGGCTTTTGCCCCTCATGCGTTGACCACTCATACTAGGGCTTCGACCCATCTTACCTCATGCGTTGACCTCTCATGTCATGCTGGGAGTTTGACCCCGCATGCGTCGACCTATCATGCTGGGGCTTTGGCGCCTCATGCGTTGACCCCTCATGCAGGGGCTCTGGCCAATCTTACCTCACGCGTTGGCCCCTCATGCTGGGGCTCGTACCCCTCATGCGTTGACCCCTCATGCTGGAGCTTTGGCCCTTCATGCGTCGACCCTTCATGCTGATGCTTCGACCCCTAGTACCCCGTGCCTTGACCCCTCGTGCTGGGGGTTATGCCCCTCATGGGTTGATCCCTCATGATGGGGCTTGTACACCTCGTGCGTCGACCCCTCATGCTGGGGCGTTGGTTCCGCTTACGTCATGGGTTGACCCCTCATGCTAGAGCTTGCACCCATCATGCGTCGACCCCTCATGCTGGGTCTTTGTCGCCTCATGACTCGACCCCTCGTGCTTGGGCTTTGGGCCCTCTTGCCTCATGCGTTGACCCCTCATGCTGGGGCTTGTACCCCGCATGCGTCGAACCCTCATGCTGGGGCTTTGGCCCCTCATGCGTTGACCCCTCATGCTGGCGCCTTTGTCCCGCTTAGCTCATGCGTTGACCCTCATGATGGGGCTTGTACCCCTCATGCGTCGACCCCTCATGCTGGGGCTTTTGCCCCTCATGGATTGACCCCTCATGCTGGCGCCTTGGTCCCGCTTAGCTCATGCGTCGACCCCTCATGCTGGGGCTTGTACCCCTCATGCGTTTACCCCTCATGCTGGGGCTTTGGCCCCTCACGCGTCGACCCCTCATGCTGGGGCTTTTGCCCCTCATGCGTCGACCCCTCATGCTGGCGCCTTGGTCCCGCTCAGCTCATGGGTTGACCCCTCACGCTGGGGCTTGTACCCCTCATGCGTTGACCACTCATGCTGGGACTTTGACCCCTCATGCGTCGACCCCTCATGCTGGGGCTTCGGCCCCTCTTACCTGGTGCGTTGACCCCTCTTGCTGGGGCTTGTCCCCCTCATGCGTTGACCCCTCATGCTGGGGCTTTGGCCCCTCATGCGTCGACCCCTCATGCTGGGGTTTTACCCCCCATGCGTTGATCCCTCATGCTGGAGCTTCGCCCCCTCGTCGTCGTCGTCGTCGTCGTCGTCGTCGCCGCCGTGGCACCGATCCTCCTCCTCCTCCTCCTGCTCCTGCTCCTCTTCCTCCTGCTTCTGATCCTGCCCCTTCCCTCTCCATCTCCTCCTGCTGCTGCTGCTGCTCCCCATCGCCTTTTTTCTCTTCCTCCTCCTCCTCTCCTCCTCCTCCTCCTCCTCCTCCTCCTCCTCCTCCTCCTCCTCCTCCTCCTCCTCCTCGTATTTCCCTCGGGATTTGCCGGGAAGCTCAGGGGGTGCCCGCCCCGGGATTTGCCGGGAAACCCGGGGGGGCCCGCCCCGGGATTTGCCGGGCTCAGGGGAGGCCCGCCCCGATTTGCCGGGAAGCCCAGGGGGGCCCGCCCCGGGATTTGCCGGGAAGCCCGGGGGGGCCCGCCCCAGGATTTGCCGGGAAGCCTGGGGGGGCCCGCCCCGGGATTTGCCGGGAAGCCCGGGGGGCCCCGCCCCAGGATTTGCCGGGAAGCCCGGGGGGGCCCGCCCCGGGATTTGCCGGGAAGCCCGGGGGGGCCCGCCCCGGGATTTGCCGGGAAGCCCAGCTGGGCCGGGCCCTGCCTTCCCTGCAACCCCGGGTTGTCGGGAAGCTCAGGGGGGGCCCGCCCCGGGATTTGCCGGGAAGCCCTGCAGGGGGGCCGAGCCCTCCCGAGGGAGGCCTTCCCTGCAACCCGGGGTTGCCGGGATGCTCGGGATGGCCCGCCCCGGGATTTGCCGGGAGGGGGGCCCGCCCCGGGATTTGCCGGGAGCTCAGGGGGGCCGGGCCCTCCTGAGGGAGGCCTTCCCTGCAACCCCGGGTTGCCGGGAAGCCCGGGAGGGCCCGCCCCGGGATTTGCCGGGAAGGGGGGCCGGGCCCTCGCCGAGGGAGGCCTTCCCTGCAACCCCGGGTTGCCGGGGTGCTGGGCCTGCCTGGCCATCGGATTTGCCGGGATGTCCAGGCATGTCGGCCCAACATGCCCGCGCACTCCTGCAACCCTGGGTTGCAGGTGTGCGCGGGCATCTTGGCCCAACATGCCCGCGCACACCTGCAACCCTGGGTTGCCGGGGTGCTCGGGCCTCCCTCGCGATCCCGAAGACGCGGTGGGCGGAGATGTCGGGTCGCCCAGGATGGCCCGAGCACCCCTGCAACCCTGGGTTGCAGGTGTGCGCGGGCATCTTGGCCCAACATGCTCGCGCACACCTGCAACCCTGGGTTGCCGGGGTGCTCGGGCCTCCCTCGCGGAGATGTCGGGTCGCCCAGGATGGCCCGAGCACCCCTGCAACCCTGGGTTGCCGGCGTGCTCGGGCATCTTGGCCCAACTTGCCCTCTGGCCTTGGTTCGAGGCTCTCTGGCTCGAGGATCGAGCCTCGAGGATCGAGGATCCAGCCTCGAGGATCGAGCCTCGAGGATCCAGGTTCGAGGATCTAGCCTCGAGGATCGACCCTCGACGACCGACGACGACGACGACGACGACGACGACGACGACGACGACCGACGACGACGACCGACGACGACGACCGACGACGACGACGACGAGCCCGAGACGTCTTCGGAAGAAACGCGTTGTAACGGGCGACGCGCGCGGGTCACCCGTTACGGTTCTCTTGAGGCCGTTTTGGGGGCCTCCTATTGCTCCTTCGGGGCCCTCCTCGTCGCCACGGCATGGACGCAGCTCGAACAACTCGTGCGTTTGGACCTCGGGAGGGGTCCAGGGGCCCTGTTTGAGGAGCCTCGAGCCTCGAGGATCGAGCATCGAGGGCCGAGGTTCGAGGATCGAGGTTCGAAACTCTCTGGCCTTCGAGGCGCCCTCCGCGTCGCCACGGCATGGACGCACCTCGAACAACTGGTGCGTTTGGATCCCGGGAGGGGTCCTGGGGCCCGTCTTGAGGAGCCTCTAGCCTCGAGGATCGAGCCTCGAGGATCCAGGCTCGAGGCTCTCTGGCCTTGGTTCGAACCTCGAGGATCGAGCCTCGAGGATCGAGGATCCAGCCTCGAGGATCAAGCCTCGAGGATCCAGGTTCGAGGATCTAGCCTCGAGGATCGACCCTCGACGACCGACGACGACGACGACGACGACGACGACGACGACGACGACGACGACGACGACGACGACGACGACCGACGACGACGACGACGACGACGACGACGACGACGACGACGACGACGACGACGACGACGACCGACGACGACCGACGACGACGACGACGAGCCCGAGGCGTCTTCGGAAGAAACGCGTTGTAACGGGCGACGCGCGCGGGTCACCCGTTACGGTTCTCTTGAGGCCGTTTTGGGGGCTTCCTATTGCTCCTTCGGGGCCCTCCTCGTCGCCACGGCATGGACGCAGCTCGAACAACTCGTGCGTTTGGACCTCGGGAGGGGTCCATGGGCCCTGTTTGAGGAGCCTCGAGGATCGAGGATCGAGCATCGAGGGCCGAGGTTCGAGGATCGAGGTTCGAGGCTCTCTGGCCTTCGAGGCGCCCTCCGCGTCGCCACGTCATGGACGCACCTAGCATGAGGGGTCAACCCATGAGCTGAGCGGGACCAAGGCGCCAGCATGAGGGGTCGACGCATGAGGGGCCAAAGCCCCAGCATGAGGGGTCAACGCATGAGGGGTACAAGCCCCAGCATGAGGGTCAACGCATGAGCTAAGCGGGACCAAGGCGCCCGCATGAGGGGTCAACCCATGAGGGGCAAACGCCCCAGCATGAGGGGTCGACGCATGAGGGGGACAAGCCCCATCATGAGGGCCAGCGCATGAGCTAAGCGGGACACAGGCGCCAGCATGAGGGGTCAACGCATGAGGGGCCAAAGCCCCAGCATGAGGGTTCGACGCATGAGGGGTACAAACCCCAGCATGAGGGGTCAACGCATGAGGCAAGAGGGTCCAAAGCCCAAGCACGAGGGGTCGACTCACGAGGCGACAAAGCCCCAGCATGAGGGGTCGACGCATGATGGGTGCAAGCTCCAGCATGAGGGGTCAACCCATGAGGTAAGCGGAACCAAAGTGTACAAGCCCCAGCATGAGGGGTCAACCCATGAGGGGTATAACCCCCAGCACGAGGGGTCAAGGCACGGGGTAGTAGGGGCCGAAGCCTCAGCATGAGGGGTCGACGCATGAAGGGCCAAAGTCCCAGCATGAGGGGTCAACGCATGAGGGGTACGAACCCCAGCATGAGGGGCCAACGCATGAGGTAAGAGGGGCCAGAGCCCCAGCATGAGGGGTCGACGCATGAGGCGCCAAAGCCCCAGCATGATAGGTCGACGCATGAGGGGTCAAACTCCCAGCATGACATGAGAGGTCAACGCATGAGGTAAGAGGGGCCGAAGCCTTAGTACGAGTGGTCAACGCATGAGGGGCCAAAGCCCCAGCATGAGGGGTCGACGCACGAGTTTTCCAAGCACCAGCTCCCCAATACCCCAAACCTCCCGACGCACGAAACCTCCAACAGACGTGAGCAGGGCATGCGAGCAGCAGCAACAGGAGCAGGATCGGGACCAGGAGAAGGAGCAGGATGAGCAGCATCAGGAGCAGGAGAAGCCGGAGGAATACGAGGAGGAGGAGGGAGGAGGACGAGGACGAGGAGGAGGGATGAGGAGCAGGAGGAAGAGGCGGAGGAGGAGGGGGAGGAGCAGGGGGGCAGGAGGATGAAGAGGAAGCGCAGCAGGAGCAGGAGCAAAGAGCAGGAGGAGGAGGAGAAAGAGGAGAAGCAGCAGCAGCAGCAGCAGCAGCAGCAGCAGTAGCAGGACTCCTCCTCCGCATCATCATCCTCCTCTCCTCCTCCTCATCCTCCTCCTCTTCCTCCAACCCTGTTTCCCTCTCCCTTGCCTCCTCCTCCTCCGCCTCCTCCTGCTCCTGCCCCTCCTACTCCCTCCTCCTGCTCCTCCTCCCTCGCTCCCCCCCTCCCTCGCTCCATCCCTCCCTCCCTCCCTCCCTCCTGTCCCTCCCGCCCTCCTCCATCCTCCCAATTCCCTCCCTCCTCGCCGTCCTCGTCTATCTACTTCCCTCCTCCTCCTCCTCCTCCTCCTCCTCCTCCTCCTCCTCCTCCTCCCTCCGAGATCCTACCTCCTCCCTCCGCGATCCTACCTCCTCCCGCTTTCCTCGTCCCTCCCCCTCCTCGTTCCTCTCACTTCCGCCCCCCCCTACCCCGCCTGGTAGGAGGAGGAGGAGGAAGAGGAGGAGGAGATGGAGGAGGAGGAAGAGGAGAAGGAGGAGGAGGAGGAGGAGAAAGAGGAGGAGGAGGAGGAGGAGGAGGAGGAGAAGCAGGAGCAGGAGGAGGATCGCTATGAAGCACCCGAATCTCTATGAAGCACCCGAATGCGTTGAGACTGGCTTAGCCACCGCTTACGCGGCCGAGTTGACGCAAGCTCGAGACAGGTGTGGCCTGGGCGCGGCGCCCGAACTTGCGGGGCGCTTCACTTGGGCCTTCTCCTTGGCGTGGGGCAAGGCAGGTGGCGTCTTAATCCTGGCCATCTACGACCAGGCCCACGGATCGACGTTGCGGGCGGATCGGCGCATCCGGATGTCCGTCGATGGCGCGCCGGGGCCCGGGCAATTTACCAGGCCGGTGCTGCGCCGACCTTGATCGCGCCCGCGCTGCGTTCTGATCGGAGACGCCAGAGGCCGCGGCGAGCCGCGCGGCGCTGAGGCGTCGGGGGCCATCCTCCTGGACGCGCTGCAGCCAGTCGCCGAGTTTCTCGTCGCGCCCACGCTTGAAGCAAAGTCCCCTGCTTTCCGAAATGGGGCCGCGCTCGACACTCATGACTCTGACGGGTTCGCCGCGGCCTGCGCCACGGGGGGGATGGCGGAGCAGGGCCGTCACGGCCTACATACCGCCTTCCACAATTGAGTCCCGGGCCTCGGCCGAGGCCTTGTGCATGGAGACCGACGAGGAGTCGGTCCCGATTTGATGTTTTCCTGGTCGTTTCCTATTGGTCTCCATTGGGGGCGCGGTCTTATCGGAGGCTCTCCAACGGAAAACGACGGGATGAGGACCAACTCCCAGTGCCTCCCAGCCTCTTCAGTTGGCTCCCTCCTCCCCTTCGCCCGCAGCTCGGGTTCGCGCGCAGGAGCGAGCCGCGACCCGCCCGCGTCCACCCTTGGGGGGCGCGGTCACATCGGATGCGCCCCAACGGAAAACGACGGGAGTGGGAGGTAGGGAACCAACTCCTCCTCCTCCTCCTCCTCCTCCTCCTCCTCCTCCTCCTCCTCCTCCTCCTCCTCGCGTTCCACCCCCTCCTCCGCTTCGGCCCCGCCCCCGAGCTCCCCTGGGGCGCGTCGGCGCCGCCGCCGACGAGTCACCGAGCGACCCCCCGCTGCTCCCCGAGGAGCGGCGGGTCGCTTGGTGACCCTGTGATGCGGACAGCGTCGCGCGATCGCCCCGAGATGCCCTCGAGACCTCTCGCCCGTCGGCGGGAGGGGCAGTAGAAACGCAAGCGGCAACGAGAGAGAACAATCTGACGGCAATGGTGGTAATGCGCCTCGGGAGGAAGGGGGGAGGAAGCCGGGTCGCTCCTCCTCCTCTTCCTCCTCCTCGGCATCGGCCGCCTCGGCCTCCGCCTCGGCGTCTTCCTCCTCCTCCTCCGCGGGCGGGGGGGTCTCTCTCGCCGCGCGCGTGTGGCTGTCGGGCGTCGCCGTCGCTGTCGTCGCCCTCTTCTTCGAGGGTGAGTGGGGAGGAGAGAGGACGACGAGGAGGATGGGAGGGAGGATGGAGGGAGGAGGGAGGGAGGAGGGAGGAAGGAGGGAGGGTGAAGGAAGGGGGGAGCGAAGGATGAGGAGGAGGAGCAGGAGGAGGGAGGGCTGCCCGTCCTCCACGCAGGGGTGACAGAACTAGTGCCCATGTGTCGACGAGGGGGAACAAGAGGCCAGAGGGAAGGGGGGGGAAGGAGGGATGGCGGAGGGAGGAAAAGGTGGGAGGAAGGGAGGAGGGAGGAGGGAGGAGGCGGGAAGAGACGGAGGGAGGGCGGACAAACATGACGAGGATGAGGAATACCGTCCACACACCTGAATGCGACCAATGTCAAGCCGGGGGCACCATTCCGACCAGAGGATGCTGCTGGCTCCACAAGAAGAGCGGCTGGCCGTTGACTATGATAGCCGCTTGTGAATCCACACGCTCGCCTGAACACCATAACGCACTCAGGGCCGAGGCACGAACACGACTACGTGGCCGGCGCCGAGGCAGAAGCGACCACTCCCTGACACCACTCGCTACCTGCAACCGACACTGGAACGGCTACTGCCAAGGCAATACCACCTGTGCGACCTGAGAACGTGACCGTAGCCGAGGCGAAACTGCCGTTCCCATCGAAGCGCGCGGCCCACGCCGAAGAAGAGAGTGATGACGAGAGCAGGAGCAGGAGGAGGGGGAAGACGAGAGGAGCAGGAGGGCGGGGGGAGGTGGATGAGTGTGTGGGGGGAGAGGAGAGAGGCGACTGGCGGGGGTCTGCCGCAGTTGGTCCTCGCGGAGCTGGCCCTTCGCGCCGACGACGGGGCCCATTCCTGGCTCCGCCGTGGGCTGCATCGTTCTGCCTTTTCTCGGAGGGCCCTGTCCGCACCGACCCGCGCGGTGCCTGCCTGTGCGGGGGGGGAGACCCCGCCCGCTGCTGCGGCCCACCCGGCACGCCGCGTGTGCAAGGGGCGCAGGAGGGAGGGGCGAGGGGTCTGCGCCGCCCCTCGGCCTCAGCAGCGACCGCAGCTTTGAGGCGTCCAGGGAGGGGGGAGGGGGGCGAGGGGGAGGGCGAGGAGGAGGGATCGTGACTGGAGTCGGGCGAGGTGGAGCGAGTAAGGCTAGAAGGAGGGCGAGGAGGACGGGGGGAGCGATGAGGGAGGAGGACGCAGGACGCAGCATAGAAAATAAAGTCATGCGAGTACGAAACCACCTCAGAGCTACAGGTAATATGGAAGCACGACTTAAGAGGTAAGTGGTGCTGCGTGCGAGGTCAGACCACCATCACACGCCACAGAGACCCAACGAATTGAACTCAAGTTTAGCTCCAGTCACCCGCGCGCCCCAGGCCGCAAGCGCATGGCTGGCCATGGAAAGCCTGGACCCAATAAAGTCTGACGCCTCGCGCTTGCTTCCGCTAGAGGCCTCCCAGATGGGGTCGGAGTAGATGGGGTCAGAGGATCGCGCCGCATCGCCGATGCATGGGCGATGCATGGGCGATGCATCGGCGACGTCGGTGATGCATCGGCGACGTCGGCGTGTGGAACCACGGTCTCCACATCGAGCCACATCGTCGATGCATCGGCGATGCGGCGCGATCCTCCGACCCCCTCTTTCCGGACCCCATCTAGGATCGGGCGTTGGCAGAACTGGGTTTAGTGGAACCTGGCTTAGTGATGTGTACGGGGGGACGCCCCACCGCCCCGTTCCACTCGCCGGAACTGCCGTCACCCGAACACACACCAGCTGCGGCAGTTCTGGTCTGGCGCTTCTGGCCTATCCCAGGGCCCCAGGGCCCCACCACTCACCAGGTCCCCTCCTCCGGGGCTCGGCCCGCGACGAGAAACCCTCCACGAAGCCACGAGAGCCTCCCGCAACTCTCGGGCCTCATGCCTCCGAGGACGGCATGACCGCTCCATTCTCCGCGAGCCCTCCCCCCGTGACGCCCCCTCTGGGGCCCGTGCAAGGACCCCAAAGGGGGGCCATGAAAAACGGATCCGGGGCGGTTTCTACGGGGCAGCCTAAAGAGACGCCCGGGTTCTTCTGGGCAGTCCCAAGGCCCCAGGGCCCTACCACTCACCGGGTCCCCTCATCCGGGGCCCCTCGCCATCGCTCGGACATCCATTCCCTGTGTTTTTTTTCGGTTTCGTGCGTGGTTTTTGTCGCCAAATGATCAAGGATGCTCCTCGATGGTCCTCGCCGAAGGGAAAATGCACACGTCCGAACGATGCCAAACCACTGGCACCCCGCCGGCGGACCCACCGCCCTCCGACTCCCGCCGGCGGACCCGCCGCCGAGGGCGAGGCGCGCCGCAGGGCGAGGGCGCGGCCCTCCACGGCCCGCCCCCCCCCCCCCCCAGGTGCAGAGCGCGGGCGTCCTCGGCCCCTCCTCCCCTGAGCTTAGGTCATAGAGGCCTCCTAGATAGGGTCGGAGTAGACGGGGTCGGAGGATCGCGCCGCATCGCTGATACATCGACGATGCATCGGCGATGCATCGGAGATGCATCGGAGATGCACAGTCGATGGATCGTTGACGTCAGCGATGCATCGGCGACGTCGACGTGAAGCACATCGGGCTCCACATCGAGCCGCATCGGCGATGCATCGGCGATGAGGCGCAATCCTCCGACCCCATCTACTCCGACCCCATCCAGGAGGCCTAGAGGTCAGGCCTGTCCCCCTACAGGCCCTACAGGGTTTTTTTTGTTCGACGAAAGATAGAATGATACCGGAGCGAAACCCCAATCAGGGCTAGGGGGCTATAGGGCTATAGGGCTGTTGAGCTATAGGGCTATAGAGCTATAGGGCTATAGAGTTGTAGGGCTATAGGGCACCCCCGGGCACCCCCAGGCACCCCCGGGCACGCCCAGGCACCCCCGGGCACCCGGGCGTGCGGCGAAAATCGGCGGCGAGCCAAATCTAACCATATGAATCCGCTAGGACCCCTACAGAGGCAACCTCTGATTGGGGAACAGGTGCAACAAATGCTCAAAAGATGCAAAAAAAAACAAACAATAGTCCCCATACCATCTTTGTGACTATTCTTGCATGTTCCCCTGTAGAGGGACAAGCCCGACTTGACCCTAAGCAGGGCGTCCCGCTCCTCCTCCTCGGCCTCGGCCTCGGCCGCGACCTCCTCCTCGGCGGCCTCCTCCTGCTCCGTGCGGGGGGGGGGCTCTCTCGTTGCGCGCAGGCCGCCTTCGGGTGTCGCCGTCGCCGTTGTCGCTCTCTCTTCCTCGGGGACAAGTGGAGAGGAGGGAGGACAAGGAGGAGGGAGGGAGAAAGATGAGGAGGGAGGGGAGGAGGAGTGAGTGAGGAGGAGCAAAGCAGGCTCTGCCGTCTGCTGCGGTTCAGATGCCAGTGCAAGCGAGAGCGGGAGCCCGACCCAGGCGCCCGCAGGCTGGAGGGGAGTCGTCGACCCAGCCGTGCGATCCGCAGTCGCGCTCGCGTTGTGGCTCCAAGCCCACTCCCGACTCTTGAACCAATCTCAACTTCTGGCACCGCACCCCTGCCACAGGCAACAGTGTTTGCGCGCCTGCTCCTCGGAAGCACATCCTGGGGGGTGTGAGGGTCGGTCGCCACCTGTAGACCTTGGGCTCTTACCCTGAGGCGTGCAGGTGCGAGGGCCCCGCCCCCCCTGTCGGCTTTGTAGGCGAACGGGGGTGCCACAGATCGCCAGGGCAGTGATTGCGAAGTTCCCTGGTGGGTCCTCAGGGCGTCGTAACAAGCATTTTGCATGTGTTATAAGCTGGTAAAACTTAACAGGGGTAGCCCAGTCTACTCATGAGACGACGGTCTGACTGGATGCCCCCAGAGCTCGAATCGATTCGATCACTCCTCCTGGAGGGGCCCGCGGGGTCCTCGTCGTCCACCTGCTCCTCTGCGGCCTCGTCGGCCTGCGAGAAGGGGGGGTTGGGCCGATCTGCATCCGTTGCAGCATCGGGCGCACGTGGAGAAGGCGGGCGAGGAGAAGGAGGAGGAGGGGGACGAGGGGGAGGAGGGGGGGGGCCCGTACCACCGCGTGGCGCACGAGTTCACATAACTGCGCTTGCTGGCGGATTAATTCTTGATGGGATTCTTGAAGTCTGGTGACCTGTCAGCGCGGTGAACTCCCAGTGGGGCAGGAATGGAGGAGAACGAGAAGGATGACGACGACGAAGGAAGCGGATGAGAGGGAGGAAGGATGATGAAGTGTCGAGCGAGAACAATACGGAGACGGAGACGAACTGCCTGAGGGGAGGGAGGAGGCGGACAAATAATGATGATGGGGAGGAGGAGGAGGAGAGAGAAGACATGCGCACCGATCCTGAACCAAGAATCGTCTTGCTCAGGAGTAATGTTGGAGTGATGAGGGAGGAGTGAAGAGAGAGATGTGAGTCAGACGGTGGATGGCCGCACCACCTCGAGGAGGCGTTAACGAAGAGGAGGCGGAAAAACGACCTGCCACTCCTGGCACCCATCTTCCAACATATCCCGTCCCTGTCTGCAAGCCGGTTTACTATACTTAACTTCACCCTTCGCCTGTTTCTCGCCATCTCGATCCCTCTCTCTCTCGCTCTCTCTCGTTATTCCGTTATCTCTATGTTTTTTGTGTGGTTTCTCTCTCTCTCTCTCTGCCTCCCTCGCTTCCCCCTTTCTCCGTGCCCGCTAATTATACAAACATCCAGCCAGTGTTCTTCATGATGCTGTCAATGGTTGTGGGCATGGAGGTGTCGCTGGTGACCGCAAGGCATATACCACTATGCATTCATATGAGTCGCTCTCTCTCTCTCTCTCTCTTTCTATCTCTCTCTCTCTCTCTCTTTCGGCTTCTCCATGTTGCAAACCTGTTTTATATGTAGCCGCGTACCCCTCACGCTGTGGACAGCCGAGCCTCCGTATGGGCACGTGCACAACGTTCACTTAATACTGCTGGCATGCATACATCCGCAAATTGTTTGTGGGTATAACCGCATGAACGGAAAACGTGCGTGTCTCGTATCATGCAGGCGTTCTGTTTCTGTCTATACCATTTTCTCGGCATCCGCCAATCGAGTCCTTACATACGTCTCTGCGCCCTCCACGCGGCTGACAGCCTCTGCACGCTGAACACACAACGCCCTCGGTGCTCGCTACGACCTCCACAATCTCTGCGTTCCCATGCACCTTCCCCGCCCACGACACTCTTTACACTCTGCGTGATTATTTCACCCGCCGCAATCTGTGCAACAGTTTTTATGCACCACGATATTTGCCATCCTTGCTGCCAGAAGCCGCGTCATAAAACAACAGAGGGAAGCGGAATCGTGTCCATCCGAAGATGGCAACTAACCTTCGCCCACTAAACCTTCACACAATGTCCAATTGGCCTCCATCAGTGTCTGCACTGGTGCGGCATGTGTGTGCGCGTGTGCCTTACAAGAGGATGAGGTGCCCAAACGATTTCGAGCATCGCATCCCGAATTTGAAGACACGCAAATGCATCACCGTTCCGGTGCTGGCAACATGAAAAATTGTGTGTTGGGGTGTCGTCGCGTAAGCCATTTCCGTGTGCATCCGCATCACGCGACCTTTTCTGCAAGCGAGGGCCCCCATCCAGTTCACCCATCTACTACGCTGGGTGGACATTCGCCTAAGCGTGAACGTGCCGATCGCATAGCGACATTATCGTATAGGAGGAAGCGTGTGTGTGTGTATGTTTGTGCGCGCGTGCCCTCAGCAAACGCGTCTTTACCTGCACGCACTTCGACAACCAACCGAATTCTTCCGCCCCGCCTCTCGATCGCAACGCGCATCTGGAGCCAGTGTGGCCGAGGCTTGGTGTTGCTAGTGGCCCTCCGAGAAGCAGTGTCCGTGTGCGTCGCTCCTCCCCACCGGGCCTTTCTTACGCCGCGCCGCCACGCGCGTGGCCGCGACACTGAAAGTGTGTATCGGCGATTGTGTGTGTGTGCGTGCGTTCCTCGCGTGTCCTCGCCGTCCCGCGACGGGCACTGCTTTCCCTCCTCGCCATCCATGCCCGGATGGCTATGTGCCCACAGGCTAGCGCGGGGATTCAAAACGATCTCGCTCGAGGGCCCGGTCGCGTGCCAGCGCTCCGTCGCTTGGACTTGCTCCGCCTCGGCGCCGCACGCGAGGCCGCTATCGCTCAGAAGTGTGTGCGTGTGTGTGTGTGTGTCATGGCTGACGCTACAGTCGTGGTGCTGACCTAAGGAACCCCAAATAAGGAACGAGGCCCCTTTTTTCCATAAGTTAAACCTCGATTTCCGATCGAAGACATAAGGGAAACCTGCGGCAAGCTGTGAAACACTTAAGGATCGCGGAGCCCCTCCCCAACCAAAAGGGTTCCTTCTTCAGGGCCCCGACTGTAAGTGTGCCTGTGTGTGTGTGTGTGTCATGGCTGACGCTGATTCTCTGCCAGAAGTGTTGCTGTCACGGGGGGCCCGCCACAGCTTGACATGATGTTGCCTTGCCACTCGGACGTTGGAGGAGAAGCATGTGTCTGCGTGTGGGTCGGGAGGTCAGAAGGGGCAATCAGCGTGGGGTGAAGCAAACTGCACCCTTCCAGCACACGCTTGCGTCCGGGCGGCAATTCAGGGGGGCCCCTGAAGGCAACTTCCCTGCATTCCCGTTGCCCCGATGGCGATTCTCTCCCGTTAGCCCTCGCCCGAGCCTGTGTGTGTGTGTCTGCGCGTCTGGGTGTCAATGTGTGTGTGGGGCTCAGTGCACCTCTCTCGCCCCTCTGAGCTGCTCTGTCCCTCCCCGCCTCCCCTCTCGGGAGCGGCCACGAGGGGGGTGTCCAAGAGGGGAGGGGGGAAATCATGACCGGCGGCATGTGCGCGGCCCAGCGGGGGGGCCAGGGACGTAATAAAATACGAAAGAGGCGCCATGAAATCTCGGGGAAATATCATGGCCCACGCCATGATATCCACCCCCCCTAGTCATCACCCCCCTCTTTTCCGCCCCCAACCCTCCTCCTCTGCTCCGCCCCTCCTCCCCTCTCTGCCTGCCCACTGGGCCTCCCGGGCCCCGGCGCGCCTCCCGGGGCTCCTGAACTCGCTTCGTGCTCGTGTGGCTGGGGATCTCGACGCCGCTGCGTGACGGTGGCCGCGCTGCGAATGAGATGAGAAGAGGGGGCCATGAAATCCTGGGAGACATCGTCTCCCCGTCGCTCGGACGTCCATTTTTTGTGTTTTTGTGTCGGTTTCGTGCGTGGTTTCTTCGCAGGATGATCCAGGATGCTCCTTAATAATCCCCGCCGAGACAAAGTGCACACGTCCGAGCGATGGCAAGATGAGAAGAGGGGGCCATGCAATCCGGGGAGACATCGTGGCCCCTAGCCACAACTGGCCACGGCATCCACCCCCCCATTCCCCGACCGCGCTCGCAGCGGTGTGTGTGTGTGTGTGAGTGTGTGTGTGTGTGTGTGTCAGTGTGTGTGTGTGTGTGAGTGTGTGTGTGTGTGTGTGTGTGCGTGCGTGTGTGTGTGTGTGTGTCTGTGTGTGTGTGTGTGGAATCCTGCTGCTCCTTTCGGATCAGTCAGCCCGGCCCTCCGACGCACCGAGCCCAAGATGCGCTCATCTGTGTGGCTACGTTCCTGCGCTTCTGCTGGCCATCCAGGCAAAACACGTGCCCACATTGACCATTCGTGGCACCCGACACCCCTTCACGACACTTACCCAACCCCCCCCCCCCACCGCTCCCCGATCTCCCCCCCCGCCAACCCTCCGCCGCCCCCCGCCGCGCGATTCCGCCCCGCCCGAGCGCGGTGGCGGAATCGCGCGGCACCGCAACTGGATAGTCACCGCCTCCTCCTTTGACGAACGAACAACACACACATCCATACCCACAGGGAGGTCGATGGAAGGAGGAGGACTGGCTATGGGTATGGGTGCGGGTTGTCGGACCCTGGGGAACCCTCCCGTTCGAGCGGGGACTCCCATCCGGCAACACGCACCCATAGCCCTCTCCGATCCCCCTATGGGTATGAGTGTGTGCTGTTGGTTCGTCATTCTTGACCGCACCCCTTCTGCGCATTCCCCGCCCGCCGTCCCGCGCCGGGCCTGCTCCTCCTCGGCCTCCTCCGCCTCCTCGGGATGGGCCTCGACCTCGGCTCGGGGGGGGTGGCGGCCTGAGCGGCCCCGACGCGCAAGACGCAACCCGAGATCGACAGGGAGGATGACAGCGTACGTTTGGCGCGCTGTGTTCGCCAAAACGTTGGCCAACACGTCGAGCCAATAGAATGCACAAATGCATAAACAAGAGCTTCCGGCACTCCGTGCGGCTTTCTTGGATCTGCGCTGGACCCCCCTCCCAGGCGCTCGGACCGCGCCAGGGGCGGCGCCGGAGGAGCCGCCAGGGTGATCCCAGCGCGGATACATGGAATGGGCTCGGAGCGCCCAAAGCGGGTGGTTGTGCTACATTTTCTGTTTCAAGTCAACACGCAACGGATTAGCTTTATGTCGGGCGTGTCCCCCTACAGGGGCATGCTCGATGAAACATAACAAAAACAAAGAAATGCTCCAAAAAGGTAAAACAATACACCAAAAATAGTTCCCAGACTATTTTCGCACTATTTTGGGATTGTTTTTATTCTTCGTCGAAAATCCCCCTGTAGGGGGACAGGCCCGACTTAAGATTGGCACGGAAGCTTTGAACACGGCGCGTGTTGCGCGTTCCAACATCGGGCGTGCCCGGGCAGCCAAAAGGCTGCGGCCGAGCACGAGGGGCCCATTCCTCGATGCACAGTCGCCTCCAGCGCCGGGAGGCGCCGGGAAAATCAGCTACGCGAGCTGATTCTCAAACCCCCCCTCTGCTATCCCCCCCCTTTCGCCCGGCCCGAGAGCCTACACGCCACGGACCAGCACGGAAGCCTCGAGCACGGCGCGGAAGATCAGCGCGGAAGACTAGCACGGAGGCCCGGAGCCAGGAGCTCGGAGCGGGGATCCAGGGCGGTCCCAGCTCGGATCCCAGCGCGGATCCAAGCTGGCGTTTGTGCTATGTCTTCTGTTTCGATCGGCTAAGAGTGGCCTTTGGTGCGCGGCTTTTGGGGGGCCGCGGGGGGACCAAACTCAGGCGCGCAAGACGCCACTGTGGCATCGCAATCGGTGATCGGGGGACCCCATTGTGTCCGCACCAAAGGCCACTCCGGCGAAAGGTCACTCTTACGTGTAGTCGATTCAAGCCAGCACGCCACGGTCAAGCACGGAAGCCTCGAGCACGGCGCGCGCTGCGCTGCAGCACCGGGCGTGCCCGGACGGGCCACGAAGCTGCGGCCGAGCACGAGGGCCGCAGGTAGGCTCCTCCTCCTCCCTCCCTCCTCCTCCTCCTCCTCCTCCTCCTCCTCCTCCTCCTCCTCCTCCTCCTCCTCCTCCTCCTCCTTCCCCTCCTCCTCCTCCTCCTCCTCCTCCTCCTCCTCCTCCTCCTCCTCCTCCTCCCCCTCCTCCTCCTCTTTCTCCTCCTCCTCCTCCTCCTCCTCCTCCTCCTCCTCTCATCCCCCTCCTCCCCCTCCTCCTCCTCCTCCTCCTTCTCCTCCTCCTCCTCCTCCTCCTCCTCCTCCTCCTCCTCCTCCTCCCCCTCCTCCTCCCTCCTGCTCCTGCTCCTGCTCCTGCTCCTGCTCCTGCTCCTGCTCCTGCTCCTGCTCCTGCTCCTCCTCCTCCTCCTCCTCCTCCTCCTCCTCCTCCTCCGGCGTCCGAGGTGGCCCCGAGATGAGAAGCCTCCTGGACGGGGTCCCAGCAGACGGGGTCGGAGAGGATCGCGTCGTATCGCCAATGCATCGGAGATGCAGCGGCGAGGCCGCGGGGGGCGTCGGCGAGGCCTCGGCAACGTCGGCGTGGGGAAGCGCGAACTCCGCCTCGAGCCGCATTTCCGATGCAGCGGCGATGCGGTGCGGTCTTCCGGCCCCATCTGCTCCGACGCCATGTGGGAGGTCTCTGCAGAGGTGGCCCCAGAACTGGAGAGCGCTCGACACGCTCCCGAGAGCGCGCGCGCGCGCGCTCGTGGAGGAGGATTCCGATCGGTGGGTGGGAAGGGAGGATGGAGGAGGACAAGGGAGGAGGAGCAGGAGGAGGAGGAGGAGGAGCGCCCGTATCACCACGTGGTGCACGATCTCAGCGTCATGTTGTTTGAGACCCACGCCCGGCGCCTCCTGAGTGCTTACAAGGCGAACAGTGGCGGCAGTGGCGGGGCGTGCCGCCACTATGAGAAGAAGATGAATCAGAATCGTCCTCGCCATCGCCGGCCGAGGGAGGAGGAACCAGTGGGGCCTCATCCTCCTGACGCGCAAGGGGCCCACGCACCTGGCGGAGGGTCGCCCTCGGGGAGAGGGGCCAGGAGGGGGAGGGGAGGTCTCGCTGGCCCCGTACCCCCTTCGCGGGGGGCTCGCCTCGTAGCGCATCGAATCGCCCTTTGGTAGGGGAGGGGCCTTTGATGCTACCTCGGGCGATCCTCCCCATCGCCAGGCGCAGCCATGCTACAGGTCGCCCCCCCAGGGGCGGTCAGACAGCCAGGACAGGAGAAGGGCAGGCCGGGGGAGGCGGTGGTGGGGTCGCCCCCAAGGGTACAGCGATACTCGGGCCGGGCGAAAGGGGGGGATAGCAAAGGGGGGGTTTGAGAATCAGCTCACGTAGCTGATTTTCCCGGCGCCTCCCGGCGCCGGATGCGGCCATGTATCGAGGAATGGGCCCCTCGGCGGGGCCGAAACCAGCTGCGTGCCGCAGATTTCCTACCCCCCCCTTTCCCAATCCCCCCTTTTTCGTATGAGGAGGAGGAACAGGAGGAGGAGGAGGAGGAGGAAAAGGAGGAGGAGAGGAAGGAGGAGGAGGAGGGGGAGGAGGAGGAGAGGAGGAGGAGGAGGAAAGGAAGGAGAGGAGGAGGAGGAGGAGGAGGAGGAGAAGGAGAAGGAGGAGGAGCCCCGACGGGCCCCCCTTTCGGTCGGCTCGACCCTCTCCCGAGGTCACGATCCCCTCGTAGCAGTCGTCGGGGCGGCCTGCAGGACACCGCCCCTGGGCCATTCGGACCAGGCGCCGCTGGGCCTGCCGGGCGGTGCGCGCCGCGAGCGGTGACCTTCCCAGGGACGAGGAGGACGAGGAGGACGAGGAGGAGGAGGAGGAGGACGACGAGGAGGAGGAAGAGGAGGAAGGAGGGAAAGGAGGAGGAGGAGAAGGAAAGGAGAAGAGAGAGGAGGAGGAGGAGGAGGAGGGGAGGAGAGGAGGAGGAGGAGGAGGAAGGAGGAGGGGAGGAGGAGGAGGATGATGAGGAGAGGAAGAGGAGGAGGAGGAGGGAGGAGGAGGAGGAGGAGGAGGAGAAGGAGGAGGAGGAGGAGGAGGAGGAGGGAGGAGGAGGACCGACAGGTGAGCGCTCCGTGCGCAGGCGCGCCGCTCCTCTCCTGTCCCCCCCTCCTCCTCATCCTCCCTCCTCCTCCCCTCTCCTCCTCCTCCTCCTCCCACCCTCCTCCTCCTCCTCCCCCTCCCTCTCCTCCTCCTCCTCCTCCTCCTCCTCCTCTTCCTCCTCCTCCTCACCTCCTCCCCGTCCTCCTCCCCCTCCTCCTATTCCTCCTCTCCCCCTCCTCTCTCTCCTCTCCTCCTCCCTCCTCCTCTCCTTCCTCCTATCCTCCTCTCCTCTCTCTCCTACTCCTCCTCGTCCTCATCGTCCTCCTCCTCCTCCTCCTCCTCCTCCTCTTCTTCTTCTTCTTCTTCCGGCTCAGGCCCTTGCCCTAGCTCAGATGTTTTGAGCTCGTAAGTGCTGCCTTGTTTGCTGATGGCAGCGGCGACAACGTATCTTTCTTGGTGCGTGTGTATTTTCTTTGCGCTTCCACCTTTTTCAGCAATTTTGCTGCAACTGTAAGGAGAGACCATCCCACTCATAATCTTCCTCTCTTTTCGTCAAGTAGGCTAGCCCACTAATGATTACATCTTCTATGGTCGATGGCCTCGCCATCTTCCTGATGGCTGCCGCCACACTACAGGAAGGAGCCGCGGAGCCCAGAGGTGCACACACGATGAGTACTAATACCCTGAACTTCCCACACGCGGACATCTGTTCACAGTCTCTGGCCACCGGGCCCTTGCCTGGTCCTGGGGCTGAGAGAAATTCGCCTGGTGAAGGGCCCGACACTATGGACTTCGGGACCCTTTTGAACACGACGCATGTGAGGTGTGTGCCGAAGCGGGCGCGAGGCTGCATGCGCACACGCCCACTGCGGACGTATGCGAAATCCCCTGTGGTGGTACCGGTCGTGTGAGGGGCGGGTGCACCAAAACAGGCGCGAGGCGGCATGCGCAGACACCAACTGAGGCTGCAGGTGTGGCGCCCTTTTGGGGCATGAAGCGTGTGAGGGGTGTCTCGGCATGGGCGCCCCGAGCCAGACATTCGCGTACACCGAGGCCGTGCGTGGACCAGCCCATGGGAAGCACGAAGCGTGTGATGGAGTAAGATTACATGGGTACGCCGCGGCTTAGTGGGCCCTGGAAGAAACGACAGGGCCGTTTATGTTACCGGCTCCGTTTTGCCGTTTTTTCTGCCGGTTCCGACGCCGTTGTTTGCCGGTTCCGTCGCCGTTTTTGGATCCGTTCCGGCTCGGGTTCCAATCCTGGAGCCGTTTTTTTTGCCGTGTCCGGTCGCCGTTTTTTTGCCGCTTCCATTTTCCAGGGACATTTTTTGGGAAGCGGTGAAAAAACGGCCCTGCCGTTTCCGGGGCCCACAAAGCGCCGCGGCATGCGTGCGCGTGCCCACAGCGGCCTGCAGGCGGAGCATCCTCTGGGGGCAGGAGTCGTGCCGTGGGCGTGCCGAAGTGGGCGCGGGGCGGCAGACGTGCCCGCCCACTGGGGCCATGGGCGGAGTTTCCCCTGCGGGAGCACGCAGCATGTGGAGGGTGTGCCGCCATGGGCATGGGGCAGGGGGGCGGAGACGAGGGGAAGGAGGGGGTGGGGCGGAAAAGAAGGGGGGTGGGGCGCGGCGCTGCGATTCCAGAACGAGGACTGGACAGCACAGATGGGATGGGACAACTACTGAGGATGAACATCTGGTCCCCAGGGGGGGATCCAGAGCTCCAGTGGCAAACATTGAGAGCAAAAACACGTCGCCGGGGATCTGGTGACATGGGCCAGCC